TAGCAGGACGTAGTCGTTGCCTTTCGTAAGCCGATACATGCCTTGATCGTGCGGGAGCTGCTTGAAGCCGATGCGGATGAGGCGAGCGTGCAGGTACTGTTGCCACAGTCGCGGGGCCTGTTTGATGCCGTAGAGTGATTTGAGCAGCTGACAAACTTGGTTAGGCTCTCCGTGGGTGCTGTGCGGCAGTTCGACGATGATTTCTGCGTCAAGAAGTGCGTAGAGAAAGGCGTTAACGACGTCAATTTGCCGTAACTTCTTTTTCTTCATGGCGGCGATCGCGAGGAGAATGCAGAGTGAAGTATGGCGGCTGACCGGAGCAAAGGTTTCGGTGAAGTCTCGTCCGTGCTCTTGGTCGAGGCCACGTACAACCCATCGTGCTTTGAATTTTTCGATGGTGCCGTCTGCTTTCGTCTTTACGCGGAAGACCCATTTCCCGGTGAGTAAAGTCTTGTTTCGTGCAACACCGATAGGTACGACCTTCCCGGTGTTGCGTTCCTCCAGTGCCTTCAGTTCCTTGTCCATGGCTTCGCGCCATTTTTCCCTATGCTCCCCCCCCAGAGCCTGCTGAACCGTCGCAGGCTCCTTAGGAAGCTCTGCTCCGTGGACTGCGGTGACGAGACCAAGGATTTGGAGACCGCTCTGTGTGTAGCGGGGAAGAGTGGTGTCCTCGGGATAGACTGCTTCGTCTCCCGCTTCTGGATCAGGTATGAAATTTGGCCCTACGCGTTCGGCTTCGTTGGTGTTGACATGTGCAGGCGTAACGTAACCGTTGTCAGCGAAGTGATAGAAGGCTTCGGCGTTGATGCTTTCGCGAGGGTTGTCGTCGTCCATCGGGATGTCAACGGAGCAGTAGGGAAGAGGTCCGGCTTCTTCCGAGGCTCTGTCCACGTTCTGCTCGTCCCAGTCAACTTCGTTTTCTGCCGAGGCAAAGGTTCGTTCTCCACGAAAGCCATCGCTGCGGTCGGGGTTTCCTTGTCGTAAGTTTGCGAGGTAATACCAGAGGGTGAGATTTTCGTAGAAGATTACGTTACGTGCTGCCACTGTCTCCTTTGTCTCGACGTCGAAAACTTTCCACGCGTTGTAATGCTTTTCGATGCCCAGGTGTAGTCCCCACTGTGCACGTTGGGAGAACCGACCAGCTCGTGCAGATGGGGGTCGGTACTGTACCATGCAGCCGAAAACCCTTAACATTTTTGTGCTGCCCAATTTTCCTGTCCACAGCAGATGCGGTGATGCGTTGTTCGGAAGCGATGATGACGAGAGCAAGTTGTGCAGCATGACGGCGTGGTCCATTGCTTCGGGCCTTTGGTGGTTAGGCAGGTGCATGCCACGTAGAAGCTTGCGCATGGTGTTCTGGAGGGTCCTGTTCATCCTTTCTGCTACGCCTTGCTGTTGATGGGCGTAGGGAAGAGAGATGAGCCGCTTGATTCCCCTTTCAGCTAGGTAAGTCTTGAATCTCGTTGAGGTATATTCTCCTCCTCCGTCTGACTAAAAGCTTTTTAGCTTGACGCCGGACTCCCTTTCTGCTACTGGAAGCCATGCGGCGAATGCTTCGAACGCCATATCTTTGCTGGGAAGATTCAGGTGCCAAACGTAGCGTGTTGCAGCATCGATGAACGTGATGGTATAGAGGTACGAGTTCTGCCCCGGTTCACGATTGTATAGAATCTCGCTGTACACCTTCTCGAGTGGTGAGTAAGCTGGTGCACTTGGGTTGTGATGAGGCACGAACGGTTGATGCGGTAAGTCGGCTTCAGGGCAGCTGAAGCATGTTCCTCGTGCTCGCTGAAGTTCTCTGCCATCGGTAAGGAGTAAAGAGTCTTTGTCGAGCACGCCTGCTCTTATCGTGTTGTTTAACACCGTGTTGCTTGGGTGTCCCATTCTTGCATGCCAGGTTCCTTCGGTGGCGCGGTGGCCGGGTGAGCGCCGGTACATGTCGGAGTTGGAGTAGATGCCGGCGGTGACGTTTGCGCTACGATGGAATTCTCGTGGTGCTGGTTGAAGCTGCTGTGCGGGTGTCGGTGGCGTGTCGTCAAGGGGTGGTGCTGTTGAAGGACCAGCAACTGGTGTTGAAGGACCAGCAACTGGTTTTGAAGTTCCTGCTGCGATTGTTGTTGTATCTGCTGCTGCCGATGTTGTCTCTGCTGCTGCCGATGTTGTCTCTGCTGCTGCCGAGTGTTGAATCGTTGCTAATGCTCTTGTTCGTTCTGTCTCAGGAATGGTATGTGAGTACCAGAAGCCGCCCGGACTGAAGTCTGGGTCAAGATCCGGAGGGTGTGTCCACTTGGTGAAGTTAACAATCGCGTCGCTGTCGGCGGTGCCAAGATCGGGAACGAAGTCGAGAACGAAGACGTTGTTCTTGAGTACTGCCTTGCCGATGTAAAGTCCTCCTCTCCCGTGGTACAATTTGAATTCTTGCGTGGTGCTGTCTGCTTCGAGGTGAATGCCCTTCGCCATCAACTGACTGACGCTTAGTAAGTTGTAGCCGAGTCCCTCCGCAATTAGTACTTTTGACATTTGAAGTACAACCTTTGTTTCTCGTGACTGAAGTTGTACGACTCCTTGTCGTCGTGTGCGCAGGTTCTGATTGTTGGCGACGGTGATGACAGCTTTGCGTTGGAGTTGGTATTCCTTCTGCACGAAGCGCCCTGAGGAACACATGTGTTGTCCGCAGCAACTGTCCAAGAACCACGTGTCCTTCCCGGATGGCTCGCTTTGGGCGATGGCTGCGTATGTCGGGTTTGGCTCCAGTGTCTCGCGGCGTGGGGTCCTCTCATCAAGTTGTTCTTCTGGTGAGTAGTACGGCGGCGATCCAGTGATGCAGGAGTCGGACAGTCGTGCCATGCAGCTGACGATGTTTATTGCTCCTTGTGCAGATTGTCCCGTTGAAGTCGTTGAAGCTTGGATTGAAGCCGTTGAATTTGCTAGTGTTGACGCGACCTGGCTGCTTGAAGGTCGAAGTTGTCGCTGTGAAGTCGTTGACTGGTGGCGGTTGGGGCAGTGAGTACGTGGGTGTCCTGATGTTTTGCAGATGTGACAAAATGGAGGTATGGGCTTCTGCTGCTGCTGTCGATTGTTGTTGTTGTAACATCGCTGAGTGTGGAACGCGAATTCAGGTGTTGACGCTTTCTTCTTGTGCCTTTCTTCTTGCAGGTCCATATCTTGTTGCTCGGCATGGATTTCGGCGCAAAGTGCTGCTTCTGAGATCTTTCCATGAGCTCGGAGGATAGCTCGAGTGGAGCGCCAATGAGGACCAAGTCCAGTGATGACGACCGTGACGAAGGCGTCTTCCGCAATTGATCCTCCGCATCGGAGAAGCCTGTCGCGTAGTTCGCGACATCGGCTGATATACGCCATCCCCTTTTCGCCTGGTTTCATCTCAACCGTTGTTAACTACGCCATTAACCGACTCTGATTTACGCTGTCTATTGCTTGATACAGGCTTTTCAGGTGATTGTATGCGAGCTCCGCGGAGTTGCCGTATCCTCGGTAAGACCGTATGTTCTGTTGCTGAGTCGGGGTGACGTTCCTCAGTAGAATGGTGTACGCCATCATCGATTGATACGTATACTGCTGCTTCTCATATTGTGTGCCATTCGTTGGATATGGCAGGGATCCGTCGAAGAACCCAAGTATCTGCGCGCCCTCCATCACCAGCTCGAACTCAAAAGACCAGGTAAAGAAGTCTTTCCCGTCGAAAGGTGTTGACGTCTGCAGTTTTAAGACGTGCGCGAACTGCGACTGTACTTGTAACGCATCCAGTGGTTTCTCTTGTCCAGGTGTTGGCTGCTGTTGTGGCATGAAGCTGATGGAGCCGCGTTCGTACGGTGCGAAGGTAGGCTGCTGTTGGTTTCCTCGTGCGTAAGAGGAGCCGTCGAGACTCATGGGAGTTGCTCCGTTGTTGTTGCTGTTGTGTGACTGCGCAGGTGCCGTTTGCTGGTGTTGCTCGTAGAAGGACATGAAGGAGAAGAATTTCTCCATCATACTCTGGTCGAATCCTGAAGATTGATTCTCAGGAGTCTCAGTGGACGTTGCTCTCGGTCTTGTTGACGTGCCCCCCTCTGTCTGTAGGCCAGAGGCAGGAGGTGGAGTAGGAGTAGTGCCAGGAGAACCGTTGGAGGAACTTCTTTCCTTCTGTGTTGCCATGTCTTGTAACGTTTCTGATTACTTGATAGTGATAGAGTTTCCCTTGTGCGCTCTCATACCATGTTGGGCTGAGAAAAGCCCTTAGGATCTTTGCAAGGGAGAACTCTAAGTAGAGTAGCGTTGTAATAGCGGAAGCTTTAATGAAGATATTTGAACCACCTTGCGCTTGTATGTGAGGGCAAAGTAAGTTAATTAAAGCAAGGAGATACAGGATTATATAGTAGTACAAGGAATATGAAAGGATGCAGTTGTAACTACTTTACTGTTGCTGTTGCGGTTCGATACAGTACGACTCGGGCAACTGCTCTGTAACGAGTCAGCTGTGTGTCCTTAACTGTCGCGCTGTATTTGTCAGGTCAAAGGTCGTTGACCTTTGACTTTCGCGTAACCTCCAGCGGTTGCTTCAACCTCCGAGGGTTGACTCACGGGTGCTTCGATAGGGTTCGCCTCGCTTCTGGTGTGGTGTTTCGACACGACAGAGGCGCTTTAGGATTTACTGTTTCCAACAGGAACACGGTAACCCGCTTTCCAGTGATGCGCTCTCGCGACCCACTGAGAATGAATTTGAAGCGCTGGAATGTGATTGGCCAAGCGTACAGCAGCAAAACCACGTACGGGTCTCGCCATAAAAAACAAACACAAACGCACTGTTCCCATTTCCGGAAACTTGAAACATCGAACTACCGTTCTATACTCGTTGCATAGTAGGCTCCATAACCCATAACACGGTCGATCGCAAGTGATTTCGCTGCTCTCCCAGGACACACCTGCAGACTTTTAGCATTCACGCAAAGTGTAGCTCACTCCTGTGCTGCACGACACCCGCAATACATTCGCTCTCTCGCGGAACTATGCGCAAGAACAAAATCTCGAACCTCATCTATAGTCGCCCCCCTCGTGCCCGTTGCTCATGCTCCGCCGGTCGCTTCTCGTCCCTCCCGTTTTTCGCGTCCCTATCGTCGATCCCAATCTTCCCGTCGCCCTCGTCGCGTGGGCGCCACTCCCGTCACTCCCCTCCCGTCCCTCCCATCGCTTGCTTCCTCCGCTCGCTTCCCTCCCGTCGCTTACTTCCTCCGCTCGCTTCCCTCCCGTCGCTCACTTCCTCCGCTCGCTTCCCTCTCGTCGCTCACTTCCTCCGCTCCCGTCCCTCCCGTCGCACCCACCTACGCTTTCTCCCCGTGTCCACGCTTTACCATCAGTGCGCTCACCGTTTTCCTTTCCCCTCGTCAACCGCTGCTCACATATTAGGTCAACGGACTGCTCCATCGACCTCCCGGTCGAACTGCTCCTCCTGGTCGACGGCCCACCCGTCGCCCAGCCCAGTCAGTTGCAGCTGTTGTGCTCCCTGGTCGATAGCAACACCATTGCGGTTCCCTGCAGCTTGACAAAGCCCGTCGAGAAGCTCTCCCACTGTGAACGGTCGGCTGCTTCACCCGTACATCCGACCAAGTCGTCTGCGTTGCCCAAGCAAGGACAGGGCCAACACTTCACTCCCGTTAACATGCATGTCATCACGTACATGAGGCACCCCACTAGCTCTTCATACGGATCACTAGCCTTGGTAGGCTTGTTAGACACAAGAGTCGAGAGGTTATGGTCAACAGTAAGAGGAATGGGTTGTGCAGAGGACCGAAGGCTGAATTTCTCAAGGATCTGTTGCACCATCTGTGACTGCGTCAGACTGATGGTGCGCGCTGCTCTGTCCCTGGTGATCCACAAGCCAAGATCGCTGTGCAGCTCACCCAGGTCAGTGCAAGTTTGTCTCTTTGGCAGACCGGCCTTCATTAAAGCAGCGGTATACATTTGGCACTACTGTTTGATTTGTACAGTGTGCACCTTCAAATCGCCGAGACGAAAAAAGCGAGGGTTGCGAGAATGTTGGCGAAAACCAGGGGCACTCCAGTTGTGAGGGAACAAGGGTTGAGTTGGTTGTGTCACAAAGGCTGAACTTCTCCCGTCACCAAACTCACATACCATGATCACCCACAAGGAGAATAATAAGCTGCTAATAACTACTCCAGAAAACTAGGTAACCAACGTGCACGCATAAGGGTGCTACGCCAGCGCGACCACCGTCGAAAGTCGACCTGTGAGTAATTAGGCGCGAGGGAGATTAGCTCAGGGCTCAAAACGACCAGCAATAGCAGTGAGAAGCAGCAGCCCGTACATCAACAGTCACGCGCCCCCCTCTAGCCTCACACGCGCGCCTGCTTTCAGTGCGAGCCCGCACAGCGCGCGGGTTTAGCACAGCGCGCTCAGCAGAGCAACGCATGGCAGCAAAACGCGCTCTGCAAGGGGGGCATAGCGCGAGAGAGATAACAACGCGTGCCCGTAACGCCCTGTGCTCGCCAAGCCGAGATCCTGGCGTCGCGCGTATGAGAAATGGCACTCGCGCAATCCTGTTCGCCCTGACGCCTTTGCGCCGTCTCATAAATTGAAACATTCCCCTTTCCGCACTCCCCCATCCGCATTTTCCCATCCGCAATCCCCGTTCCGCATCCCCCATTCCGCTTTCTCCCGTCCGCATTCCCCCTACCGCGTTCCCCCTTCCGCGTTCCCCCTTCCGCGTTCCCCCTCCCGCGTTCTCCCTTCCGCGTTCCCCCTTCCGCGTTCCCCCTCCCGCGTTCTCCCTTCCGCGTTCCCCCTTCCGCGTTCCTCCTTCCGCGTTCCCCCTTCCGCGGAACCCTTTGCGCATTCCCCCTTCTGCATTCCCACTTCCCCATTCCCCCTTCCGTATTCTCCCTTCCACATTCCCCCATCCGCATTCCCCCTTCCGCATTCCCCCTTCCGCGTTCCCCCTTACTAAGGCTCCCTCCCGAATTCTCATTCCGCATACCCCCATACGCATTCCCCCTTCCGCGTTCCCCCTTCCGCGATCCCCCTTCCACGTTCCCCCTTCCGCGTTGCCCCTTCCGTGTTCCCCCTTCCGCGTTCCCCCTTCCGTGTTCCCCCTTCCGCGTTCCTCCTTCCGCGTTCCCCCTTCCGCGTCCCCCCTTCCGCGGAACCCCTTCCGCGAACCCGCTTCTGCATTCCCTCTTCCCCATTCCCCCTTCTGAATTCTCCCTTCCACATTCCCCCATCCGCATTCCCCCTTCCAAATTCCCCTTTCCGCATTCCCCCATCCACATTCCCCCTTCCGCATCCCCCTTGTAGCATTCCCCGTTCCGCATACCCGCTTCAGCACTCCCCCTTCCGTGTACCCCCTACCACGTTCCCCATCCGTACTCAAATTCACTCCCTCGTGCTTCCCGCGTACCCCCAATTTTCACACCCTGATGCCTTCCCTTGTCACATTCTCTTATCACTCCCACCCCTTCCCTTCCCAGGCAGTGTGGTGAGTGCATCGCTGCTCCCAGCAGCGTGTGGAGCTCTCTGAGCTGGTAGGCTTTCCTCTTCTGTGTGCAGGCGAACCACTTTCCAGCTACTCTAGCTGCCCCTGGTACAGGGGAGTGCGCCCAGGTAGTTGCTTCATCTGTGTGTCGATGACGCACCCGTGGTTTACGTTGCTTCATACCCCTCTCATATCTCCTCTCCCCCCTGTTCCACCTCCCAGTCCCGCCATGCCCACCATCATTCGCCCATCAGATAGCTTGCGCATCAGACCGGGGTCGCTGCACCACATTTCCCCTCAGGGCTGCCCCATTTTCCCCCAAGGGTTTACCCAATTTCCCCCCCAGGACTTCCCCAATTTCCCCACAGGACTGCCCCATTTTCCCCACAGGGCTGCCCCATTTTCCCCACAGGGCTGCCCCATTTTCCCCACAAGGCTGCCCCATTTTCCCCACAGGGCTGCCCCATTTCCCCCCCAATGCTAGCCCCATGTCTCCCCCCTACTGCAGGCCGCCAAGCTAGCCCCATTTTTCCCCCCTAATAGCCCCATATTCTCCCCGTGCTAGTCGGTTGTTTCCTCGCTGCCAGCCCCATGTGTCCTACGAGGCTTGGTCCAGGTTTATAACTGGTGCTAGCCTCATGTTTAGAATGAGGGTGGTCAGTGCATCGCTAGCCCCATGTTTCCCCCATGCTAGCCCCATGTTTCCCCCATGCTAGCCCCATATTTCCCCCATGCTAGCCCCATGTTTCCCCCATGCCAGCCCCATGTTTCCCCCATGCTAGCCCCATATTTCGCACATGCTAGCCCCATGTTTCCCCCATTCTAGCACCATGTTTCCCCCATGCCAGCCCCATGTTTCCCCCATGCTAGCCCCAGGTTTCCCCCATGCTAGCCCCATGTTTCGCACATGCTAGCCCCATGTTTCCCCCATGCTAGCCCCATGTTTCCCCCATGCTAGCCCCATGTTTCCCCCATGCTAGCCCCATATTTCCCCCATGCTAGCCCCATGTTTCCCCCATGCCAGCCCCATGTTTCCCCCACGCGAGCCCCATGTTTCCCCCATGCTAGCCCCATGTTTCCCCCATGCTAGCCCCGTGTTACCCCCATGCCAGCCCCATGTTTTGCCCATGCTAGCCCCATGTTTCCCCCATTCTAGCCCCATGTTTCCCCCATGCTAGCCCCATGTTTCCCCCATGCTAGCCCCATGTTTCCCCCATGCTATGCCCCATGTTTCCCCCATGCCAGCCCCATGTTTCCCCCATGCCAGCCCCATGTTTCCCCCATGCTAGCCCCATGTTTCCCCCATGCTAGCCCCATGTTTCCCCCATGCCAGCCCCATGTTTCCCCCATGCCAGCCCCATGTTTCCCCCATGCTAGCCCCGTGACTGATAACTGGGGCCCAGAGAGTGTACTGTACCAACATGGTTCTCGCACACATATCGCATTCAAGGAGTGGCTAGAGGAAAACTGTGGGGAGGACTCGATGAGACCATATGTTCATGGGTCTTGCAATTGGATGAATGAATCATTTCATTCACTGATCTGCAAGTATGCGCCGAAACGCACACTGTTTCGCGGAAGCATGAGGGCACGAGTTGGTCTTACGGTGTTGCATTGGAACCATTCATTGGTTAGGGAGGTTCGTGCAACCAAGATCAGGATGAGTCGAGTTACCAGGGTGCGGCGTGGTAAGAGCTTGCGGATCTTAGGGCCTATGAACTAGAGTTGGGTCGACGACATAATGCGAGAGTGGAATTGCATGATGCCTGCAGCTTCAACGGACCCCGGGCCTGACACTGGTACCCCCTCTGCACCGGCAACACCCGAGCCCCCTCCGAAGCGGAGGTGTACCAATGAGAGACAACCCTCCACCACCTCGCGATCCTTGCTTGGTAAGTCAATGGGGGTGCATTTTGACTTTGTTGGACGACCCGCAACACTTCTAATATTACACATGCACATTCGTACTCACTGATTGCAGGACCCTTGACAAATGTGCGATGACGGAAACACGAACGAATCATTCGAGGGTTGCCATCCATGCGTGAGTTTGTTATCTCAAAGTGTGTTGATGCTTACACCCTTCGGTATGCAATGTCATTGGAACCTCCTGCGTGGTAAACCCTCTCGCCCTCCTCTGGTATGTTCTTCCCACTTGCAAAGGAAGCGGCTACTCTGCTGGTGCACGTACTCTCCATCCATCCTTCTCATCTAGCCGTCAGTCAACCATCACATCCCACCCCATTCCATCCTAACGCAACCCACACCACCACGCTTCACCCCACTCCACCCCATCCCACCCCGTCGTATCATCAGGGGGTGACTGTGAATGGGAGGTGCTGCTCAACGCGCCCTCGGGGGGCATCGGGGGGGCTGTGCAGTCGCCCCCCCTGGCAAGCGCCACCTCTCTGTGTTTGGATCCGCCAGGATGGTGGAGCTGGTGGCATGGGGGGACTGCGCACTAGGCGATGGCATGGATGCGAATGCCAGTGTAGGTAGTGAAAACCATTCAAACCCGCACAATTTCCTCATGGCAGCGTCCCGCACTACTGTACTACCCAACAATCAGCTGGCGTGCAGGACACCAGCGACACCCCCCTGATGTGCATGGTCAGTGAGTTAGGCGGGTGGTCAGTGAGTTCTGGCGGGTGGTCACGGAGGGGAGGTGTGGTGAGTGAGTAGGGAGCATCATCAGTGAGTGGAGGGGGTGTTCGATACTAGCATTCTGACATATGGAGCACGAGAAGCTTGCTTCCACACTTGGCTGTCCCATACACAGCTCCACCTTGCTTCTCCAGCCTCACATCCATTCTTTCCCCTTTCCCCCACCCTTCTCTACTCTCCCCACTCGGCCCACTCACCTTCGCCCCCCACCAGTGATGGACGGCGAGCCATTTGGCGTGAGAGGCCACAGCAAAGTGTTTGATCAGCCGAGAACCATCTACTACGAGGATGGCGCTCTGCCAGGGGACTCCTCCACGCCTTCCTCCTCCTCTGGCTGCGAGGACAGGATTTGAGTACGCTGGTGAGAGACTGTATGCCATGCCATGCCATGCTGTATGCCATTGTGCTTGCTTGCCATTTTTATCATCCTCACATCCGTGCTCTTCCTCCGATCTCCTTCAGTCCATCGCTCTCATTGCCTTCCATTGCTGTGCACATTGAACACAGGTGGCAGCAAGGCCGTGAGTTTGCATCATTCAGCCGGCAGCCCTGGCCATGTCCGATGCAGCGGCGGCAACATAGCTCGCCTGGTGCTGGAGGTGGTGTACCTGGTGGGGCTGCTGTGGAACGTGTGTGGCGAGCTGACGGAGATGGGGGACCATGCTGCCGTGAGCTACTTTGGCCTCGCGTGGAACTGGGTAGACTGGCTCTCACTCTCCCTTCAAGCACCCGCCGTTGTCATCTGGTGAGGGAACAGCGGTGCACGTTCTGTCAGTGGAGGTCTCGTTCAGTCGATGCAATGGGTGCACGTTATTTGACCATGCCGCATTGTACCATCACTCCTTGTGCGCACCTGTTGGAGCTCCTTCCTACCCCTACGTCAACCCTTCACGCACTGTCCTCCCCACCTGTCACCTCGTGCATGTCTCTTCACCCTCCTCCCCTTTCGCTGTCTCCCCGATGCTGCCTCTTTTCCACCCTTTTCCTTTCTCCCAACCCCCCCACCCCTCCCCCCCCCCCCCCCCCCTGTCACGCTCCCAGCCGCTATCAGCCAAGCTAGCAGCAATAGAGCAGGACACGGCGTGGATTGCATGCTCGAAGATACCTGCCGACATTTGTGCGGAACACAAGGGGGCAATGGGAGGGTTGCTAGTCCACTCTGCATCCTTTTTCTACTGCTTTTGGCTCAAAGGCAGGGGGAGGTTGAAATGAGGATGTTGAAGGTGCCACTGCAGGTGACGGTGCTTCAGGTGGTTGTGCTGGTCTTGGTGATGACCCCCTATGAACTACTTGTTTCCCCCCCCATCGTACCGGCACCTGAACCGTGCCGCATTGCCGTAATACATTGCCAACCCTTACGTTATCATAAACCCTGGTAACAAGGAGTAGCACACGTAATATAATAAAAATTAGTCAATCTGGTTGCTTGTAACAGTGTCAACCCACCTTGGATTCCTCGGTACCAATCACGTTGCTACTCATATGCTCGTGCACGAATGTGCTCATCCGAAAATCTATCTCGTCAGGCACTTCCCATTCGCATACAAACCAATCAATGTCACCCTGGCTGCAATTTTTGTAGCCTTCACCCGATGGCTCAGGATACAGCGAACCTATAACCACATAGACCAACCAAGGCAAAGTCACCCGGGCGCATGCATGGCCTCCCAGCAGTTCAGAGTATCTAATGTAACAACGAAAACGATGGTTCTTGGGAAGGATCGGATGACCCTGCGCATCCACCACTGTGTTTTTACCCAAACACACTCGCACGACATCAGTCACGGTTCCGTTACCCCCAATACCTCTTGCGCCGTCTACGTACCCAAGCTCCTTTCGAGCCCACTCCACGAGAACATGGTACCGGTACTGTTTCGCACGATGTACAGCGAATTCGGACACCGACCAACTCTCACTCGCGTAAAAAACTTGGGGGTCCAATCTAGTGGGTCGTACAACCCTTCGACGGCGAACCGTGCGTATTGGGTGTGACGTGCTAGCAACCACCGAACCCCTAGAGACGGAGATGCCGCGAGTATCTGTACGCGATTCAGTCCTGCTGTCCCCCCGTCGCCGCTCTCCTTCCTCATCTTCATCCTCCTCATCCTCAATACCAACTCTAAAACCAAGCGTCAACCGTCGCCAACGCCCATGACGGCGTGAGAACATCTTTGATTTATGGCGGGGAACAGCAGAAGGGAGTGGGGAAGTTTGTGAAATGAGTAGGAAAACGAACCGGCAACGTGCGCATGGATAGGAGGGGCTGGAAGGGGATAGGAGGGGCTGGAAGGGGATAGGAGGGGCTGGAAGGGGATGGGAGGGGCTGGAAGGGGATGGGAGGGGCTGGAAGGGGATGGGAGGGTCTGGAAGGGGATGGGAGGGGCTGGAAGGGGATGGGAGGGGCTGGAAGGGGATAGGAGGGTCTGGAAGGGGATGAGAGGGTCTGGAAGGGGATGGGAGGGTCTGGAAGGGGATGGGAGGGTATGGAAGTGGGGATGGGAGGGTCTGCGTGAGGGAACCGAGGGTCTGGAAGTGGGGATGGGAGGGTCTGGAAGGGGATGGGAGGGACTGTTTGGGGATGGGAGGGTCTGGAAGTGGGGATGAGATGGAAGGGAGAAAAGGGTGGTAGGGTGAGAGAGATGGGCAGGATGGGAGAGAAGGGAGAAAATGAAGCCTCATGGAGGAAGGGAGGGAAGGGAGGGACGGGAGAGAAGGGAGAGAGTGGAGATTGCAATGTGGGATGAGAGGGAAGGGAGAGAAGGTAAGGGGGGAGAGAAGGGCGGGAAGGGAGAAGGGAGGGAAGGGTGTGGAGGGAAGGAAGGGTGTGAAGGGAGGGAAGGGAGAGACGGAAGATTGGAAGTAGGGATGAGACGGAAGGGAGGAATTGGAGAAAATGGGGGGAGGAGAGAAGGCAAAGAAGGGAGAGAAGGGAGGAAAAGGAGAGAATGGAGGGAAGGGAGAGAAGGGAGGGAAGGAGGGAAGCAAGGAAAGCGAGGGACGGGAGAGAAGAGAGGGAATGGAGCGATGGGAGAGCAGGGAGAGAAGGGATGGAAGGGAGAGAAGGTAGGAAGGGAAAGAAGGTAGGAAGGGAGAGAAGGCTTCCCCAGGGAGGGATTGGATGGAAAGGAGGGAGGAGAGGGAAGGGAGGGAAGGGAGAGAAGGGAGGAAAGGGAGGAAGGGAGGGAAGGGAGAGAAGGGAGGGAAGGGGGAGAAGGAATATTGGAAGTAGGGATGAGACGGAACCATGAAAAGGGTGGTAGGGGGGGGAGAGATGGGCGAGATGGGAGAGAATGGAGAAAATGAAGAGAATGGAGGGAAGGGAGGGAAGGGAGGGGAGGGAGGGAAGGGAGGGAAGGGAGGGACGGGAGAGAAGGGAGAGAAAGGAGATTGCAATGAGGGATGAGAGATAACAGAGGCCAGGGAGAGGAGAGATGGAAGATAAGGAAGTCGGGATGAGATGAGAGGTGGGGAGAGATGGGCGGGAAGGGAGAGAAGGGAGAGAATGGAGAGAACGGAGGGAAGGGAGGGAAGGGAGGGAAGGGAGGGGAGGGAAGGGAGGGGAGGGAGGGGAGGGAAGGAAGGGAGGGAAGGGAGGGAAGGGAGAGAAGGGAGGGAAGGGAGGGAAAGAGGGAAGGGGGAGAGGGAGGGAAGGGAGAGAAGGGAGGGAAGGGAGTGAATGATGGGAAAGGGGGGAAGGGAGGGAAGGAGGGAAGGGAGGGGAGGGAAGGGGAGGGAAGGCAGGGAAGGGAGAGGATGGAGGCTTGTGGGTTATTAGTTGGGACGGAAGGGAGAGAAGGGAAGGAAGAGAAAGGGAAGGGAGAGAAGGGATGGAAGGGAGGAAAGGGAGGGAAGGGAGAGAAGGGAGGGAAGAGAGAGAAGGGAGGGAAGAGAGAGAAGGGAGGGAAGGGAGGGAAGAGAGAGAAGGGAGGGAAGGGAGAGAAGGGAGGGAAGGGAGAGAAGGGATGGAAAAGAGAGAAGGGAGGGAAGAGAGAGAAGGGAGGGAAGGGAGAGAAGGGAGGGAAGGGGGAGAAGGGAGGGAAGGGAGAGAAGGGAGGGAAGAGAGAGAAGGGAGGGAAGAGAGAGAAGGGAGGGAAGGGAGAGAAGGGAGGGAAGGGAGAGAAGGGAAGGAAGGGAGGGATGGGTCGTCGAGCGACAGAAACGGCAATAGGGAGGCGGGAAGGCATGTCTGGAGGCGGGAAATGGGAATCGGGCGGCTGAAAAGGCGCGTCGGGCGGCGGGAAAGGGGAAGTGGGCGGCGCGAAAGGAGAAGTGGGCGGTGCGAAAGGGGAATAGGGCGGCGGGAATGGGAATCGGGCGGCGGGAACGCGATCAAGGCGGCGGAAACTGGAATTTGGCAGAGCGATAAGGGAGTCGTGCGGCGGGAAGGGGAGGTCGGGCGGCCCTGCCGGCATCTATGAGAAAGGAGATTGCAATGAGGGATGAGAGATGACGGAGGCCAGGGAGAGGAGAGACGGAAGATAAGGAAGTCGGGATGAGATGGGAGGGAGAAAAGGGTGATAGGTGGGGAGAGATGGGCGGAAAGGGAGAGAAGGGAGAGAAGGGAGAGAACGGAGGGAACGGAGGGAAGGGAGGGAAGGGAGGGGAGGGAAGGGAGGGGAGGGAGGGGAGGGAGGGAAGGGAGGGAAGGGAGGGAAGGGAGGGAAGGGAGGGAAGGGAGGGAAGGGAGGGAAGGGAGGGAAGGGAGGGAAGGGAGGGAAGGGAGAGAAGGGAGAGAAGGGAGAGAAGGGAGAGAAGGGAGAGAAGGGAGAGAAGTGAGAGAAGGGAGAGAAGGGAGAGAAGGGAGAGAAGGGAGAGAAGGGAGAGGCTGGAGATTGCAAAGAGGGATGGGAGGGAAGGGTGAAAAGGGAGAGAAGGTAAGGGGGTGGAGAAGGACATGAAGGGAGAGAAGGGAGAAATGAAGAGAATGGAGTGAAGGGAGGGAAGGGAGGGAGGGGAGGGAAGGAGTGAAGCGAGGGACGAAAGAGGAGGGAGGGAAAGGAGAGATGGGAGCGCAGGGAGAGAAGGGGGGGAAGGGAGAAAGGAAGGGAAGGGAGAGAAGGGAGGGAAGGGAGGGATTGGAGGGAAAGGAGATAAGGAGGGAGGGGAGGGAGGTGAGGGAAGGGAGAGAAGGAAGGGAAGGGAGGGAAAGAGGGAAGGGGGAGAGGGAGGGAAGGGAGAGATGGGCGAGAAGGGAGGGAATGATGGGAAAGGGGGGAAGGGAGGGAAGGAGGGAAGGGAGGGAAGGAGGGAAGGGAGGGGAGGGAAGGGGAGGGACGGCAGGGAAGGTAGGGAAGGAGGGAAGGGAGGGGAGGGAAGGGGAGGGGAGGCAGGGAAGGGAGAGGATGGAGGCGTGTGGGTAATTAGTTGGGACGGAAGGGAGAGAAGGGAGGGAAGAGAAAGGGAAGGGAGAGAAGGGAGGGAAGGGAGGAAAGGGAGGGAAGGGAGAGAAGGGAGAGAAGGGAGGGATGGGTCGTCGGGCGACAGAAACGGCAATAGGGAGGCGGGAAGGCATGTCTGGAGGCGGGAAATGGGAATCGGGTGGCTGAAAAGGCGCGTCGGGCGGCGGGAAAGGGGAAGTGGGCGGTGCGAAAGGGGAAGTGGGCGGCGCAAAAGGGGAATAGGGCGGCGGGAACGGGAATCGGGCGGCGGGAACGCGATCAAGGCAGCGGGAACTGGAATTTGGCAGAGCGATAGGGGAATCGGGCGGTGGGAAGGGGAGGTCGGGCGGCCCTGCCGGCATCTATGGGCGGGAAAGGGGATTCAGGCGGCGATTAGAAGGGGATTCGGGTGGCGGGATAGGGGAACCGGGCAGCGGGAACGTGAAACGGGCGACTCGAAGGGGAGTAGGGCCACGAAAAAGGGAACTCGCAGGCTAGATAGAAGAATCGGGAGGCTTGAAGGGGCCTCCCGCGGCTCGAACAGGGAGTCGAGGGGAGGGAAGGGGAATCGCCGGGCAGCGTGGCTGGGGTTCCGTGGCGGCAGGAGTGGGAAACGAGGCGGGGGGAAGGGGCATCAGGCGGCGGGAATGGGGGCCAGCGCGACGGGGAATCGGGCCGGATAAGAGGGCTAACGCGAACCCTAGGCCATTTCGCATTCGCACTTTCGCCGCGAAATGCACCGTGTCTTAGGCGCCGCAAAATCAACTATGGCTCTGTAGGTGTTTCACCTAGGCGTGAGATGCGCTATAATGACATTGGCTTGCAGAGATTTTGGAAGTTACCTTTTTAGTCATGGCATAGAGCGCTCTGGGAGTGGAGATAGTGGCGAGGAGGCATGTCCTTCAGTTTACTTTTGGCAAGCCATAAACTTTCGACCAGTGAGAGAGGTGAGGGGTTGGGTTCGAACTTGTTGCTGTGTCCGAAGTCCGAGAGACCCTGTTATTTGGTTACCACAGTGTACCTTTTATAAACTTTTGGCCTTTCCCCTGCCAAATGTATACCGCTCCTTTAAGGCCATTGCAACCCTGTTCGGAGTAGCAAAAACCAGGTCATCGACATAGACAAGAATATAGAACAGAGTCTCACCAGCGCGAACGAAAGGAGAAGGATCGGCAGAAGACCAGAAGAAGCACCGCTATGTGCATTAGTACCCAAAGAGTGGTCATCTTTGGGGTGGGGGAGAAGGTATGAAATAATTCAACCTCCTTACGTTGACTGAAGCATCTTGCCACATAGTGCACCTTAGAGGTAGGCGGCACTCCAGGTGGTCGCTTCACCTTGAAGTTCTACATTCCGTCAACAACGTTCGCCCCAAGAGGGGGAACTGCATCAACATAAGTACCTGTGGACCTCCAATATGCCATCTCTGCGTCCATGACCTCTATCCACTAATAGGCCCAGCGTCCTGGAACTGCCTTAGCGTAGGTGCGTGGGGTCAGGATGTCAAGAGCGTCTGGGTCACCCTTAGGGGCTAGCAGCATGGCACCGAGGTGAGGAGTAGCGATCGCAAGGAAAGCCAGCTTGAATGGCCTGTCCTCTAGGACGTAACGGTCAAGGGCAGGAGCACACCTGACGAATGGAGGACGGGCAGGAGCAGACACCGAGTGGCATAGTAAAGTCAGCGGGTGGAGGCAAATTCGGTGATAGAAGTGATCATATCCAAGGTAGACAAGGGAGAAGAAGGAGGTCAGTAACTAAGGCGGAAGGGCACAGGCGAGCAACATGGAGAAAGAATGAGAATGGGGGAAGAGAGACAGTAAGGGACGACTGGGGAGGTAACGGTGTAGAAGGAGGCGAAACACGAGGGGGAAGAGAACGGAGGCTCACTGAGTAAAAACCAGGAACAGGAGACGAGGGACAAGTCTGAGGGGCTCGACAGGGCCAGGGGAAAGAGACAAGAGATGGGCCAGGAAGGGAAGGAGGAGAAAGCTGTGAACGAGGAGGAAAACGACCCGGAGACGGGTCCGGGAGAGGCAGTGGAGGACCGTAAACAGGGAGAGGCGGTGCGTGGCTAGACAAGAGGTAAGGGAGTCCAAGGAGACGAAGTACAGTCGCAAGAAATGTCGGTTGCTACGGTTGCGGCTGCTGCTGCAGCGGCTGCAACTGTTGCTGCTACGGCTGCTGCTACGGTGGTTGCTGCTGCTGCGGCGGCAGCTGCTATAGCCATGACGAACGTCACGAATCCACGGTACCCCTAGAGCCCAAACCTCATGTGGTAGCACCCCCAGAGCTAGTACCCCCAGTGCCTGCACCCCCAGTGCTAGCACTCAATGCAAATACATCCTCAGAGCTAGCACCCCCTGAGTCCACAGAGATTGGCCGTTGCAACGACAATCTCTCCGGCTATGAAGAAGGCTGCTGCGGCGACTGCGATGATGAGTTCCAGACGGCAGAGACTGCGGGGTGACGTGCGACACGCCATACAGGGCAAGACGCAAGGGGAGGGGAGCCATAGGAGGAGTGGGACCAAAAGGAGGAGTTGGAGTGAGGAAGAGGGGAGGAGAGGGAACCGGGTTACCACAGCGAGGGAAGCGCGAGTAGAAACTGGCCGACTTGTCAAAAGTGACGTCATGAGAGCGGAAGAAACGGCAAGCCGAAGAGTGGTAGAACTGCCAGTCAGGGGCATATAGGGGGGAACCAATTAAGATACAGGAGAGGATCCAGGCTGAGAGCTTGTCGGCGCGAGGGCCGCGGACGTGAGCAAGGCAGCCCAAATGCGAAACGCAAGAGCAGCACAAGGGGACCGAGTCCATAGGAGGGTCGGCGAAACCTATGTCCGTGAGACACTGTGCCACAGTTTAAGCTCGTGCGCGGCGTAGCAACGGCCACAAGAAATGGGGGCCACTGTATGGACCATGATGGTACGGGCGATCTCAATAACCAATCCAATGCGAGCTCAGCTACCCCATTATATTGAGGAGAGTGCGGGGATGTGTACGCCTGACGGATACCCTCCTCACGATAGAACTGGGTAAGGCAACCAGAGGTGAACTCACCACCACTGTCGAAGTGCAGACGAAGGACATGCAGGTTGTGCAGGGTGCAGATGGCCACTATCTATGGGAGGAGAGCATCAGGCACGTCGGCCTTCTGCTTCAAGGGAAACACCGAGGTGTAGCTGGAGATGTCGTCTACAAGTACTAGTGTGACCTTCTGCTCGCCGCACGGCCCAGAGATGGGGGCAGGGCCCTAGACGTCCATGTGCAAGGTCTGCAGAGGTGCAGTAGTACGAAGAAGCAAGGAGGAGTGAGGGGCGGTGCGCTGCCAGCCCTCAATGCACAGAGTGCACGGCAACACAGACAAAGGAGGGAGCCAGGAGAGCGACACCGGGAGACCTGAGGCAAGACGGTGGCGAACCATGTGACGGAGATGCAAGAAGGAGGGGTGACGTAGATGGTGGTGCCACAGGAGCGACGGGTGGGTGAGCGACCAACAAGAGTAAGACGCAGCTACCTGACTAGACCCAGCACCCTAGGGTAACGCAGTGCTTAACGTGATCAGACCTGACGCGGCTCTCGAGAGATCGTGGCAAGAGGCGTCCCAGTGGTAATGTTAGTATAGACTGTAAACTGCTTGTGCCCATGAATCCTAGTGGTGATACCGAGGTCTTGGAGACGATCGACACTCACCAAGTCCCTGGAGAATGAGGGGAGGTGCAGACCTGTAAGGGAACCTGAGTGGACCCCCGGGCACGGGAGTGTAGTAACGCTGCGTGCGACAACCGGTTCAGAGGAGGGATCGGCCAAGGCGATTGTGACAGGAGCCAGGAAGCTGAGAGAGGGTGGTGCGGTCGAGAAGAAGCACTCAGATGCGCCAGAGTCAAGCATGAAGGAGAGTGACGCGTCAGCGGTGCACACATCCGGACAAGCAACAGCATCAAATCCTATATTAGAGACATCCAGACATCCTAGTCTAGGATCACACAAATAATCAGAGTCAACATCACTAATAGTCAGCATCATACATCACATGGTCAAGCATGCACGATAGACATGTCCATAGTAAACACAGGCAGGACCTGGCGGAGCAGTGCAGCCCAGTCGGGGACAGGCACCATATGTCCGAAGCAGCCATGGTAGAGGTCGATGAGGCGGCTAAAGCACCGCTCAGCGGAGTAATCAGGACACTCGCAGATGCGGCCATTGGGTGGAACAGTCTGAATCACGTACTGGCATGGCCCACCACCGCGACCAGTGCTCCCGATCCGGCACAACCCCACTGCTGTTGCAGGACCCACTGCTGAAACTACTGCGGGTGCTGTGTTGCATAGGATCCAGTCACTTTGAAGACTTACGACGAACTCAAATCTCAACTAAACGCAAGTTCGCTTGGTAGGATTGTGCGCGCTGGTCTTAGCTACCATTTGCCAGTTGAATCACTTGATTTCATGGTCTAGGGAGTGAGAACAAAGTAAAAACGTATATCTCCTACATTCACTAGAATAGATGGAGGAAGAACAAACATTAGACATAGTTTGAGGAGTTGGGGGGTTTCAAGAGAACCTTGTGAGGGAAGGGCTCTCCAAATGCTTTGGAAGTATGGTGGGAACCTTCATAGTATCAAAGATGCAACCCTCATGATGAGGTCCTTGAGGTGTCACATGCAAAATCCAATCCAATTGGATTTTGCCTAGGTGTTGTAACATTTGCAACCCATGCTAGAAACTTCTAGCCACCCCAATCCAAAAGTCAAACTTGCCTTCCTAACCACCCAACCAATGATCCATATAGTCATGTCCCGATAATCGCCCAATTTAGTTGATAACCCAAATCAAGATAGAATTCCCAAATCTTGGAAATCTTGTAACTTGGGCGATTTTGGTCGGAATAAGGCGATCTTGGTATCGTTGGAAAGCTCTGCGCAAAATATCCACATTATATTATAAACGACTTTCAAAACAGCATTTAGTCCGAAACCATTTCTCCTGCATGATCTTGGTATCGTTGGAAAGCATTTCTCCTGCGCGATCAAGCATTTGGACTTGGAGAAAAACACAGAGGTGATAAAATCCAACAGCCATGCATAAGGATTTATGCTAATGAATTGAACGAGTACACGGCAGGACGTTAGGATGACGTGCACGCATACTGACGTGCATACAACATGCTGCTTCTGCGCCCCCGCCGCACCCCGAGAACCAACACCTCCTCCGGCTGCACCTCCAGAACCAGCATCCTCAGCGATAGCACTCCCTAATGAACAAGCAGCTCAACCACCTCCACCTCCACCTCCACCTATCGTGCATGCTTGACCATAGTGTGTGTGCTCCAGTCGTACCACGCGATATTCATTTTGCTAGGCCGGAGTGGCGTCACCAACAAGATTACAAGGACATGGCATGATCGGAATTTTGCTCGTACAGAGAGACGTCTTATTGAAGCTAGCTCTTCAGGTAGATCTGGAGATCGAGCAGCCACTAGTCAAGGTTTAACGCACGACCCTCCGCATCGAAACCTAGGACTGACTTAGTTGCCATAGTGGCAAGAGCCGGTGCACAATTGTTGCAGGCAAGAGGAAACGGCCATAGGAGGAGGAAGAGCAAGCCTATGAGAAACCCTAACTGCAGAGGAAGACGCGACAACGGGTGCAACTGCAGGTGCACGTTAAATTCTGGCAGCAGCGTCAAGAACTCTGGTAGGTGCTGGCAACTCGGACGACACGTGCAGTGCGGGTGGCTCGAGCGGTGCGGGCGGTGTGGGCAGCGCGGGCAGCTCGGGCGGCGTAGGCGGCACGGGCAGCGCGGGCGGCTGGCAGGCAGGAGTGGCGCACTGGCGGCAAGCTGGCAGTGCGTTGCTGGCACACTGCAGGGGCAGCAGTAGCGACGTCGCATGCGGCAGCGGCCAGTGCGCTGCAGCGGGCGCACAGCGGCAGCAGCGCGAGAAGTGGTGGTGGCACACGTGGCAGCTGCGAGCGTGCTACAGCGGCAGTGGCACAAGCAGCGGCAGTGGTGGGCGTTGCTAGCGTGGTGGTAGTAGGCGCGGGCGCAGCGGTCGCAAGCGCAGGCGCGAGCGAGAGTGCGGCTGCAGCATGCGCGGGTGCGGCGAGCGGTGGCACTAGCACAGCGGCAGGCACGGGTGGGGGCATGGGGCCTAGGGTAGGGCGCACAGGCTAGGTGCGATGGGGCCTAGGGTGGGGCGCGAAGGGGCCACCAGGTGGGGCGCGGGCGGTCGCGCCAAGGGCCGTGCTAGGAGGGGCGCGCTATGGAGCGCTAGAGGAGGCCACGCTAAGGGCGCACTAGGGGCGCGATGTGAGTGCTCTAGGAGGGCGCGACGGGGCACTCTAGGGGGCGCACTAGGGCAGGCGGGGTAGTTAGGGTAGGCGGGGCGGAAGCGGTTGACCTAACCTACTCGATGATACCATGCCAGAAAGAGAGAATGGTGACTGGCATGAGAAGGTACTTCTAGGCATTTGAGTTGATAAGTCCGTCTTTTTACGCCTCTTTTTGCAATTCAATACATGCTTATCCACGAATACGGAGTATGCTACGAGTGGCGTATCTTCTCACCATTTCTCCTTTGAGTAATCTTTTGGCACCTAAATACGGTATTTGAAAATTGAGTGTGGGCCATTGATGAGATGTATGAGAGCGTCGGATTGTACTAGGGTAACAAACATGTCAAAATTCTCAACATTTCCTACTTGCTATTGCACACACTGAAACCACAACATTTAAAGACCGACAACATTCCCATAGGTGTGAAACGCGAACCAACCAAATGCCACCACACAACATACATACCAAATGACATGGTAGGTCATACATCCGTAATTTTCCCGAGGCGCCCATCCCGAAAGCATCCGCGTCATAGCGGTGTCGTAACTCTTGTTGGAGCAACTTCGAGTACCCGATAATGAACCTACCCCTCCAAACCCCATTTTTGCAATGCACCAAAAGTGCCCCAAAGCGATCTAATAATAGAGAAATCAAAGAGCTAGGGTGGGGCCTCAAATAATCGAAGTGGCTTGTCACCCTTTTGCCTCACGTCATACCCCATGGTTAGTTGAGAAAAGTGTATTGTATGCGGGAAATGGTATCTGTACCTTGGGCTGATGTGGTGCGTCCTCACACCAAGTAACAGAACAATCGGGCATGGATAAGGTAAGGTGCATTGTGCATAGAGAATGGATGCAGTGTGGTGTATGGGGCATGGCGGGTAACTGGTAAATGCGATGGGCAAGGGAGGGGGCGTGGGTGAGAGAGCAGAGTAGATGGGCGTCTTATCGCCGCCAGATGAATGCAAATGAGAGGCCTGGGGGTGATGGGGGGGGGGGGGGGGGGGGGGGTGGTGGGTTGGGGGTGGCGGGGAGAAGTGGAGAAAGGAAGGAGAAGATGGAGGAAAGGAGGGAACGAGTGGAGGGGAGTAGAAATAGATGGGGAGGGATGGGGAGGGAAGGGAAGGAATGAGGATGGATGGGGAGGGATGGGGAGGGAGTAGAAGGAATGGGGAAGGATGGGGAGGGATGGGGAGGGGAAGGGAAGGAATGGGGAAAAATGGGAAGGCATGGGGAGGGAAGGGAAGGAATGGGGAGGTAAGGGAATGGGGTTGGGGAGGGATGGGAAGGGAAGGGAAGGAATGGGGAGGGATGGGAAGGGAATGGAAGGAATGGGGATGGATGGGGAGGGATGGGGAGGGAATTGAAGGAATGGGGAAGGATGGGGAGGGATGGGGAGGCATGGGAAGGAATGGGGATGGATGGGGAGGGATGGGGAGGGAAAGGAAGGAATGGGGAAGGATGGGGAGGGATGGGGAGGGACGGGAAAAAATGGGGATGGATGGGGAGGGTTGGGGAAGGAAGGGTAGAAATTGGGAAGGATGGGGCGGGATGGGGAAGGAAGGGAAGGAATGGGGATAAATGGGGGTTGGTGGGGAAGGAAGGGAAGGAATGGGGATACATGGGGGGTGGTGGGGAAGGAAGGGAAGGAATGTGGATGGGATGGGAAGCCACTTGCCGTTCGGTAGATGGCGAGGATGTCGGGAAAGACACAAAAGAGGATAGCGACGTAGATGAGTGAAAGCAGAAGTAGCAGCACGACTCAACAGACACGGGGTGGGATGGGATGGGGAGGGACTGACCTCTCGGGATGCGGTGAGGATGCCGGCATAGAAAGCAAAGAGGAAGGCGACGTAGATGAGGGTGAAGGGTGGGTGAGCAAGAGCGGCACACCAGCCCCTGTTCCATTGTTTTTGAGATGTCTCGAAACTATTTACCATGCCACTTAACGAGCCACGAGCCACTCACCAAGCCACTTACCGAGTCACTTCTCAAGCCACTGACCAACCAAGCTATTTACGAAGCCACTCACCCTGCCACAAAGGCTTCCCAGATGATGGTAACGAGGATCTGTTGGCTGCCCATGACCCTGTTCGTGCTGGTGAGATTGTCATCGTTATGAACGCTAAAGGTGAAGGCCACGAGCACCCCCAGGCAAGGAGGCTCAGAGTGGAGAGGCAGAACACCATGCTGGCTAGCAATGTGCAGTTGGAGCGGAGTGCCTCTTTTCCTCAGCCTTGTGTTTCTCCATGCATGCAATCACTGATGTGCACACACACTTGCGTGTATGCACACACAGTTATGTGCCATGCCTAGGTTTATCCTTGTGCCTCTATCACCATCCACAGACAAGACACAACATGATGCGCTTACAACCACTCTTGCTGTTTCAACATCCCTTCTCCTCCACATTCCCCTTGCGTGACCCCCTGCCTACCCCACCTACCTCTTCAAGTTTCCCAGAATTCCTGGGATATGGCATGGTGCGTCCATCCTCCTCCAAGGGCTCCCACATTCCTCTCTCCACCTCTCCCACAGAGGACTAGGGCAGCTGTCATCAGGGCACCAGTCACCAGTCACCAGGACCAATCACCAACTTGCACTAGGACATGAGAATAGCATGAAAGAATTTACTAGAGGAACCCAATCCATCCAAATTAATTCCATGGGAAGAAGTAATCGGCATATTATAACTTGCTGCTGCACGGTGCAAACCAAATGTCCGATTACTACTTGGTACTACAAGGCTAATCCAATCGACGTCCAAACCATCCCATCCACAAAGGTACGCACCGGCAATCCAGCAGAAACAGGCACATTCGTCTCGGTAGAACAAGTGCACACTAAAGAACCACCACGTGTGTGCGTACACACGCTGACCATGAGCCCAGAGTTGAACAGGAGCACCATCATGCTACATGAACAGGCGCGAGCCAAGGCGTTAGTGATGACAGTGAGTGTAGTAGTTGGTGAAGCAAGCAAACCTGCCATTGCATGAGGTACAACAGGAAAATCAGAACCAGGTCAGGAATAACAACATACTCCATGAAACCAGGGCAGGAGAAAAAAAGGGCATGGGATCCGAGAGGCGTGATGCGCAGGGGGGTTATCTACAGGGTGAGGTACTAAACTGGAAAGGAAGGAGGGAACGGTTCAGGATTGGCCTAGATGAGCATAGCAGAAAGGGAGGCGATAGCCAACAAGCACTAGAAACAACTTACGAGCAGTATTGGGTGGGGGAGGAGCACCGTAAACAACGGCACCATTAGCGTCGAGGGTGAGCGGCCCGCCAACATTGATCATTGCACCAGTGCTGCCGAGAAAGGTGTCGTTGCTCCACCCAGTCAGGTCCCTCGCAGTGTACGACCCGTCCCCATTGGCAGTCGGCATGATTTTATTCCCCAAACCGTCCAGGCACGTTCCATTCCTCAGGAGCGTCATTGATCTCACCTTAAACCAAGGATCGGCACCACTGGTGTACACAGCAACGCCCGGGCCAGTGACCGGGTACGTTAGCCCGATCCTAGCCTAAGATAGCCTATCGCCCCGCCTAGCCTACCTCGCCCCGCGAGCAGCCCGCTGCCCGCAGCCCGCCCCGTCCCGCCCGCGCGTAGCTGGCTCCCCACAGCCCGCCCCGTCTCGCCCGCGTGCAGCCCACTACCCGCCGCCCGCCCCGTCCCGCCCGCAGCCCGCCCCGTCCCGCCAGCGCGCAGCCCGCAACCGCGCGCAGCCTGCTGCTCGCAGCCCGCTCCGTCCCGCCCGCACACAGCCTACAGCCATGCGCAGCCTGCGGCGTGCAGCCCGCCGCAGCCGCGCGCAGCTTGCTCCCCGTAGCCTGCCCCGTCCCACCTGCGCGCAGCCCGCAGCCACGCGCAGCCCGCAAGCCCCGCACACAGCCCGTCCCAGCACGCTGCCCCGTCCCGAGCACCAGTTGCTGCGAGCGCCACAACAACCCCGCAACCCCTCGTTCACAGGCACCTTGACCCCTTGTTTTAAGGCCTTGCAGCCTCTTGTTTTAGCAGCAGTGTTGCCCCTCGTTCCTAGGCCCAGCGGCCCCTTGATTTAAGGTCCTGCGGCCCCTCGTCCTAAGGCCCCGCCCCCCCCCCCCCCCGATCTAAGGCCCCACCTTCTGCCATAGGCTTTCTCTGCGGCGGCTGGCAGCTGCAGTTAACCTCCCTAGGGTAGACATGGCTAGTGCCTAGCATCTCTATGCTAGCCCTTTCTGGCTCTACCCACCAGTAGCTTCAGCCATTCCTAGACTAGCCCTTCCGGCTTCGTTCGTTCGTCCACTTTCACCCCTAGTCCGGTTGGTCGCTAGCCATGGCGGACCCTCGACCTCTACATTTCGATGCAGAGGGTAGGGCACTCAATTTTCCCACCTAGCTCCTCCGTGTCGAGATGTACCTGCAGAGTGAGCGCCGGGATGGCGACACACTCTGGGCGCATGCCTCTAGTGACCTGCTTTCGCCTCCTCGCCCTCAAGACATGCCTGCAGAGCCTACTGAGGAGGAGCATGCGCGCTTCGATAAGGGTCATGCAGCCCTGTCAGTGTTGCAGTCTCATGACGATGCGGCTTGTATTGCCCTCACCATCCTTCTCCCTAAGACTGAGGAGGCCCACTTCAGCCAGGTTCGATCTGCCTAGGCCTGCTTTGCTGCGATCAAAGCTCGTTACTCCACTCCCTCCTCTTCCTCGCTTGGTCATCTCTTCCTGCCGTTCCTTCTTTCCAACCTCTGCACGTTTGAGCGCACTTCTGACCTTATCACCCACCTCCGCTTGCTCGATGCTAGCTACCGTGCTGCGAATACGGAGGCTCATCTTGCGATCCTTCCCCCTCCCATGCCCATTACCATTCACTTCCTAACCACTTCCCTCCCTGGCCGCCTTGCACATGTACGCGACGAGCTTCTTTGGAAGCACCCTGTTGAGCTCACTATCGACGTCCTTGATTCAGCACTGAAGGACATCGAGAGCAACATCTGCTCCGTTGCCTCTGCTTCTGGCGCTGTAGTTCCGCCACTTGTTTAGGGGTGTACTGTTCCACAGCTCCCCACTTTCACTGCACCTCATGCTACTGGTGAGACTGCAGCAGTGTCCACTACGGGTGGGCAGTTCCGGGGTAAGGGAGGTAAGAAAAGAGGGAAGGGTGGTGGCGCTGTCGGTGGCGGCAGGGGTGACTCAGGGGGTGGCGGAGGTGGGGGCAGTACTGGTGCATCACAGTCTAGTGGAGGCGGCACTAGAGGTGGCCCTGGGCGTGCCGGCCCGATGGGAGGGAGTGCTGGAGTAGCCGGTTGGTACACTGCGGCAGCAGCGCAGTAGCAGCGGTGGCCCCAGCAGCAGCAGCCACAGTAGGGTCAGCCGCAACAGCAGGGACCGCAGCTGCAGTAGGGACAGCCGCAACAGCAGGGACAACCGCAGCGGCAGGTACAGCAGCAGCCCCGACAGTGGGGATCTGGTGGACCGGGGGAGGCATGGTGTGGCAGCGGCACGCCCAGCTGGGAATCCCGTAGTACCCCCCCTACTCTTTGCACAGACCCTGTCCAGACTAGGACACGTCACAGTCTGTGGCCGCTTTCACCCTCCGGGACAATGTTTTGGGCAGCTCAAGAACCGCCTTCGCGCGGAGTATGGTGACGCTCCCTCTCCGTACTGGGCCTCACTGGCTTGTTCCCTTTGTCCCTCGTTGTTTCAGATGTCTGCAGTAGATTTGTTTGCTGCCATGCAATTTGCCTCTATGATGTATGCTGATGTGGACTATAGTGCTGCTGGATCTGTTTGCTCGCGTGTTCATAGCTTAGGTTCTTTGCCTGTGTTGCTAGTGTCACTGCTTGTGCTTCTAGTCTAGATGCTTGTGCAGCTGCTAGCCCAAGTGTACCTACAGCTGAGGCGTCACTTTCTCTCACGCTGGACTCTGGCGCATCCCATTGCTTCTTTTTGCGACCACACGACTCTCACTCCAATTCCTGCTCCGGTTCTGGTTGCACTGGCTGATCCTACTTCAGGACCAGTAGTTGCGCGCAGCTCTACCACCCTCCCGTGCCCGGCTGTCCCCTCTGGTGCTCTCACTGGTCAAGTAGTCCCATGTGGTCAGGTAGCTGCGTCCAGTCAGGTTGTTGCATCTTGCTTCTGTCGGTCACTAACCCACCTGACAGTCCTGTGGCACCACCGTCTTGGTCACCCGTCCCTCCCACGCCTCCGCAGCATGGCCAGCCAGGGTCTTGTCTAAGGTCTCTCGCACGTCTTTGCGTCACTCTCTCCTTCCCCTGCTCCACCGTGCACTTCTTGCGTCGAGGGTCAGCTGCGTGCCACTCCTCACACCTCCTCCCTTCGTCCGGCCACCGTGCCCTTCCAGACTCTCCACTTGGTCATCTAGGGCCCCACCCCTTGCCCTGGACTCAAGGGGGAGAGCTTAATTTTGGTGGTCGTTGACGACTTCTCCCATTTCACCATGGTGTTCCCCTTGGCGAAGTATTCCGATGTGACTTCTACGCTGTGCAGATGGTTGGTGGCCACTGAGGCCACGCGTGGTAGTCGTGTCCATTGTCTCCACTCCGATCGTGGGGGTGAGTTCTGCTCCAGCGTTCTTCGTGGTTTCTGTAGCAAACAGGGCATCACCTAGTTCTGGACGCTTCCAGAGTCCCCACATAAGAATGGGGGTGCTGAGCACCCCATTGGCTTGGTCATGAACATTGCCTGCACGTCCATGATCCATGCCAGTGTGCCCCATTTTCTATGGCCCTAAGCGGTTCGCTACACCGCCCACCAGCTGAATCTCTGGTCGCATGTCTCTCACTCTGAGGTTTCACCAACCATTCTCTGGACAGGGTCACCTGGGGTTGGGTTGGCCTTTCGTGTCTCGGGCTGCCTTGCACTTGTTTGCAACACCTCTGCAGACAAGCTCTTGGCTCGCGCCCTCCCCTATGTCTTCCTTGGTTTCCAGTGGACTCCTGAGACTTCTCGTTTGACCACCTGCCCCTCCACCCGTTTCTTGACTCCCGTGACGTCCAGTTTGACGATTATGTGTCCTACTTTGCCCGCTACCCCAGTCGAGGTCTTCTGGTCCCCCCCCCCCCCTCCCCCCCCCCTTTTCCTCGCCCCTGCTCCTCCTCCTGCTCCCGCCCCCCTGGTGCCCCCACCCCCCACTGGTCTTGCCCTGTAATGTGTGTCCAACGCTACCCCTCTCCCCTTGGTCGCACGTCAGGTACGGCCTCCTTCCCCACAGTGGACTGCACAGTTGTCGCGGCAGCCGTCAGAGTTACCCCGACAGAGTGCAATCACCTCTAGGGGTGTTGGTGCTGGAGGCACAGGTGCTGGAGCTGAGAGTAGTGACTCTGGAGGTGCTGACTCTGATTGTACTAGAGCTGAGGGTGCTGGCACTAGAGGTGCTAATTCTGGGGGTGCTGGAGTTGGTGGTACTGGCACTGGAGGTGCTAGTTCAGGGGGTGCTGGAGTTGGTGGTACTGGCACTAGAGGTGCTAGTTCTGCGGTTGGTGGTACTAGCACTGGAGGTGCTAGTTATGTGGGACTGGAGCTGGAGGCACTGTCGCACCAACTCATCCTCCCCACCGCTTCCCGACACGTTTTCAGGAGCTTGTTCGCCTCGAGCGTGAGGAGAGGTCGGGATTGGAGTAGGAGAGGCTAGAGCTGGAGCGGCAATAGCTAGAGTTGCAGAGCAGGAGCTATAGCTACAGTAGCCGTAGCAGCAGCAGCAGCCGCGGCAGTCCCAGCAGACACTTTTGCAGTAGATGTTCCCACCTGTGAGTGGCCTTCATGTTACGAGACTAACTTAACTGGTAACCGGGTTTAACTAGGAGCCTAGGCTTAGTACCCTAGGCCAATTGGGTGTCGAGGAGTTTGTGCAAAGGAGAAATGTCGAGAATGTGTGTTGTTCATTATAGCACACAAGGTACATATAGCAAACTAGCAAAGGTGCACCACCAATAAGGAAACATAACTTCACTAAAGCTAAAGCTACAGGCAGTTATAAATATGTATAAATATATATCGTGACACACCCCCTTAACTGCCTGCAGCACATAGCTAGAGGAAGTCACACCCCATGAAGGGGTATTGCAGGCACAGTGAAAGATGGCAAAGAGGTTAATGTGGAGGAGGAGGCGAGAGAGAGAGGGGAGAGGAGAGGAGATAAGAACAAAGGAGGCGAGTGAGGGATGAGGAGAGGAGGTGCGGGGGTGGCTGCGGCGTCCCCTCTTACTAACCCCCACATCCCCACCCCCAATCAACCGACCCCCATTAACCTCACCCCCCATGTCAACCGCCCCCTGGAACCGCACTCCCTCCCCCGCTTTCTTCCTCCATACCCCTCCCCACCCACGATGGTCCCTGTACATTCCTTCACAGGTGGGGCTGCTGGTCACAGGTGGGGCTGCTGGTCACCAGTGGGGCTGCTGGTCACAGGTGGGGCTGCTGGTCACAGGTGGGGCTGCTGGTCACACGTGGGGCTGCTGGTCACCGGTGGGGCTGCTGGTGCTGGTGCCTGGTGCTGGCGTGACGGCGCTGGTGCTGGTGCTGGTGACTGGCTTCGGTGCTGGTGCTGGTGCTGGCGGCTGACGCTGGTGCTGGTGCCTGGTGCTAGCGTGACGGCGCTGGAGCTGGTGCTGGTGCTGGTGATGGCGGCTGGCGCTCGTGCTGTTGCCTGGTGCTGGCGTGACGGCGCTGGAGCTGGTGCTGGTGCTGGCGGCTGGCGCTGGTGCTGGTGCCTGGTGCTAGTGGCTGGCGCTGGTGCTGGTGCCTGGTGCTGGCGGCTGGCGCTGGTGCTGGTGCCTGGTGCTGGTGGCTGGCGCTGGTGCTGGTACCTGGTGCTGGCGGCTGGAGCTGGAGCTGGTGCTGGTGCTGGCGGCTGGCGCTGGTGCTGGTGCCTAGTGCTGATGGGGCGCGACGGGTGGGACGAGCTGCAGACGGGCTACAAGCTGGGCGGGATCTGACGATAGGAGGCGCGCAAGCGCTGGTGCGATCGTCGGTGCGCTGGAGGTGATCGCCGCCACTCCCTTTCCCCTTTTCCTCTCTCCCCCACAGCATTCCACCGCCACTCCCTTCCCCCTTTCCCTCTCCCCCCCACAGCGTTCTGCCGCCAATCCCTTCCCCTCCTCCCTCTCCCACCCACAGCCACCGCCACTGCACATGCGAACAATCGCGACGGGGGAGGGGTGACGGGCAGGGGGCCGGAGGAATGCGTCGGGCGGAGCGAGGCGACGAGAGGGAAGAAAACGGGACGGGGGGGAAAGGGTTGCG